GAGGAGAATTGAGGTCTGTCACTTAAGGGAATGAGCATTTGTGTGTCTTTAAAAGGGTCCTGGAAATGTGAATCATGAGAAAACTACATGGATTTCAGTTGTTTCTCCCACCAAAATAAACACTTTTTAAATGTATTTGAAGAGTAGAGACAAATCTTCCAGTTACTGGGGTGTTACATGCCCGCAGTGGGCAGGTGGGGCTTCTAAACCAGGAGCCATGAACTCAATCCAGGCTTCCTGTATTGGTGGTTAGGGACACCACTATTTCAGCCATCACCTGCTACCTCCCAGGATACACATTAGCAGGAAGCTTTAATTGAGAGTAGACGCAGAACTTGAACCCAAGCATTCTGATGTGAGATGTCAATGTCTAACTTTTTAACATTAATACAGAGAGAACACAGTTTATGCAGCTCTTAAACAGCCCCTCTTCTCTCGCAACCCCACCAGATGCCCACCTTTAAACCTAAATTTTAATTCCAATTTTCCTGATTTTTAAAATACCAGTACATGTTATTTTAACTTCTGTAAATTTCCTTTCTCTCTCTCTCTCTCTCTCTTTAAAAATCTATAAATCCTTTCTCTCTTCATTTGCTTATTTGCAAGGCAAGGTGACAATGAGAGAGTGTCAGGATGTGAAGAAGAGGTATCCTCCGCATGCTGATTTCACTCCTAAGTGCCCTCACCAAGCAGCACTGGGCTAGGCCTGAGCCAGGAACTAGGGACTCCATCCAGGTCTCCCTTGTGGGCTACAGAGATCCACATGTTGGAGCCGTCAGCAGCCACTTTCCCAGGTGTATTAGCAAGAAGCTATGTCTGAAACAGAGCTGGGAGCTGAACAGCATCCCGACAACAGGATGCAGCGGCTTAAACCACTGCTTGTAACACCAACTCCTTTTTTCTCTTTTCAATCACAATTTTACCCATGAATCACAAAGTATACCTCAGAGATTTCTCTAAACACTTGTGACATGGGTAGCTATATTATTTTATTTGTGTATGTATCACTGGTAAATACTTGTTAGTTCCAATAAATAATTTGCAAATTCCTGTGGAAATTGCTGGAATGTGTCAAACTAGCATTTGACTGTCTTCAAGAAAGAAAAAGCTACTTTCTCTTTTGCAGGCCAAGCATGCCGGGACAAAGGGACAGTCATTTGCCTTGTCTGTCTGCTGTTTCTAGATCTCCATGAATTTTTCTTAGGGTTTCAAATAACTGGTATCCTCAGATCTCCTTAAGAGATGTCAATAAAATAGGATTCCCAGATACGGTTAATTTTGTTGTATCTTTAATTTTATTGCATCCGTATGGGTATTTACTAGTTACCATTTTTGGAAAGGTTGCTAAGGATTTGGTATTGTTAAGAGTCCAGGCTAAAGCCCCCGGTTGTCAGGGTGCGAGCTAGTCAACCCCCAGAGAACGACAAAGAGTCTCACTGGTAATGCAAACAGCAGAGTTTATTGCGCCAGCATGCTGGGGCCAGACCACGCTTGGGGCACACAGGCCAGCCAAGCAGGGCGGTCGGACCCCGAATAGCCCAAGACAGAAGCTTGTATAGGCCCTTTTGGGCTGGGAAATACATCAAAAGTAACAACCTTAGACATGTTCATTTTTATGACCTTCAGGCACAGGCAGCCTGTTCTGTTCCCATACCCATTATCTGTATGGCTCATCCCATTCTCACACCCTTATCTTCCTCCTGCTCCTGGGACCAGAGAAGAATTGTGCCCTTGCCCCCCTGAATCAGGGTTCACAAAGTTGCAGGACAGCAAAGAACAGATTTATCACTAAAGCTGAATCCTCCCAAGCTCCAGGTGCCTCCTGGCCTAGCAGAATAGCAGTTTTCTCTACACAAAGGAACCTCACACTGCCCAACAATAGCATTTTACCCACACTCTAACAGTATCAAGCAAATGATGATCCAGAGCGGCCCTACGGATTATCAAAGACAGTGAATATTCAATAGCAATCAAGAAAGCCATTTTCAGTCTTTGCTACATTAAGGATCACTTTAATCCAGTGGTAACTGTTCACATGACTGCTACTTGTTCCTTTTGTCCATTCTCCTCTCATCCTGCCTTTCTCTCTTACCTGACACTGCATTTTGAACCCGTAGGTCGTGTATTCAAGCATATGCTGTGGTGAATGAATCAAACCAATGCCACATGTATGATCTAATTATCTAAGTAGGTGGTGGTGACCTGATGCTGCCATTAAGAAAGCAAAATGAGGACAAGTGTATAAGTGCTACCAGAGCCGCTCCTGAACTCTGTTCCTTGACCAGTGCAGATCTGTCAGCATGTGGTCCCCGGCCATGAGGGCTCTGCCTGCTCCCTGCTCAGTCTGCAGTTGTTCAGCCCTCCCGGACATGCAGACTGTTGCAGCTGCCGTTCACAAGGTCTTGGCCACGGCACATTCATTTCTCTCACTTTATTACCATCGCATCTGATTCCAATTTGCTACCAAATTGAGTTTCCAGGCCTGAGCCTGACATTCAAGCCGTCAGGTGGATTAGCTCCTTCAGCTTGGTTAGCGTGGTGTCCGTAGGTCAGTTGACAGTGGTTGATTAAATGTCTTCTACTCCACGTCTGAGAATTGGAACCCTTGTCTCGTGGAACCATGAACCTGGTTACCCATGGTAACCTTTTTGCTTGTTTAGAACTCATAATTCTGGACCGACTAGAAAGACTTCTGATTAGAAATGGGGTTGGTTTTTATCCCTTATCTTGCTGTTTCAGCAGCTTTCCCTTAGAGCAAAGCTGCCAGGTTATGGTGAGGTCATTTGGTGGAACATGCTTAAGCTATTGAACTCATTTGTTTACCTTTTTCCCTCTTCTGTGTTCTCAGTGGTCTGTCTGCATAGGCTCATGGTTGCAGTGACGTCCGGTTTATTTTTTCAGTAATGCCAACACCTCAGGTATCTTTTATGCTGCTGTCAGATCAGCTTACTGGACAGAACAGAATTAGCCTACTTTGACCTAAGTCATTTGGCTATGAAGTGGGTCTCAGTTTCTTTCTGAAGGAAATGGTCTAGCGAGTTATTTCTTCTAGTGAATTCTCTCGCTTTGTGTTAAAACATTTATTTATTTGAAAGGCAGAGTTACAGAGAGAGAAAGGGAAGGAGGGAGGGGATTAGAACTTGGAGGGAGAAAGAAAAAGAGAGAGTTTCCAGCTACTTCCCGGATGGCCACAGGCCAGGTCAGGGCCAGGTCAGGGCCAGGTCAAGACCAGGAGCGTGGAATTCCATTCATGTCTGTCTACAGCATGGATGTCCAGCTCCAGTTACTAGGTCCATACTATACTAGCTTTCTCAAGTGTATCAGCAGGGAGCTGGATTGGAATTGGAGCAGCCACGACTTGAACTGGTCTCGCATCAACGTAGGATATCAGTTTTACAGGCAGCACTGGCTCTATAAAAATTTCTCTTCTTTCTTCTGTTTTAACTTGTATGTAAAATGAGTTTTCAGGGCATGACATGACCAAACTTACACAAGTAGATAATTGCTCGTTGTTTTTCTATTAAAGAAAACTGATTATTTTCTATTAATGTTTTGGTTCCTAAAGAAACCTGTCTTGGCCAGGGACTTTCTCTTGCCTTTTAAGTCTTTGGTAGATAAAGGTATATTAGTTTTTCAGACTCAGGGAGCCAGATTCAGCAAACACTGTAATTTCTTGAGGATAATCAAGGATTAAAGACAAAAACAAAGCAGAGGAAATAAAACACATTACCACTGAGCCCTGCTGCCCTCCACAAGAAAATGTCTGCTACTGGGGGAAAGAGGATACTTGGTACCTCAAAGTGTAGACTGTTCTTCTAACTGTTAGATGATGAGATGTCACCCTGGATAGAAGTCAGGTGTCCTGTGTTTGAAGCAGTAGATCCAAGGGCCTCCTGTAGTCTGCTGATACCCCTGAGGCCATTTCCTATAAACTATGCTGGAGTAAATGACATTATTTAGAAGTGATATCTGAGGTTCCTAGCCACGACTGACATTTCAGGAAAGGTGTGTTAGAGACCTAAGAGAGGAAAGGAGCAATGAGAAGGGAAGGGATTCCCTTCAAATCAGTACTGGTGCCTCCTGGAAGGCAGCAAAGAGATGAGAATTACAGTAAGGAATAACCACATGTAGTTGAATCTTCTGAATTTATGGTGCACTTCATTTTGGTTTTTTGTTCAGGACATCCAAATGACCTCTTGCTCTTTGTTTTTTTATTATTGTTACCCAGTGGTCACTCTCTGAGTAGCTGGGTTCCTAAATAATTTCCTTAGTTGCAAGAGATGTTTCTGAATCTAGTTTTGTTCGCTTTGTTTCTTTGATTTTCCATAGCCTCTCTTTGATCACTAGATAAATAATGCTCTTAATTTGAGATCAGTGTCTGAGTACCATTTTAATTTATTGTATTTATTTTTAAAGTATACCCTTTTAAAGCTGCAAGACACTTCAGTCATTGTTATGTGTCTAGTTATCTTTTACAGGCTCCTGGATCTACTTTTAAAATAACCCAAGTAATGCATTCCATGTGTTTTGAGAAATAATACCAGAAGGAAACCTTTTGCATTATCTTTTTTTTTTAAACTAATAATCTGTGGTATACACCTGTTTCGCGTGAATTTATTTCTGATTTAATTGCTCTTTTCATCTCAACTTGCATTTAATTGCCCTGCAAAATGTCTCCTTACTTCTGAGTTCTGTTTCCTGTTTGCTGAAGGGCCTGGGTTACTCAGATTTCCCGCAGGCTCAATTATAGCCTGTGTAACTCAACTTGGTGTTTTACTGTAGAAGCTTTGAAGTCTGGAATGCTCAGGAATTCAGATAAACTGTGTTTGTACCTTAGATGCATTGGGTCAAAGGAACAATGTGAGAAAGACTCCAGCATTGGAATCTTTTCCCTATAGAAACTGCCAAGCCAAGCATGGTACATGTTGTGTTCCCCACTGGGTGTCGTGGTGGTCTCCGTGTGCTGGGCATCTCCTACATGTGTGTCCTTTCTTTTACAGAAGGAGTTGAGTCTCCCCAGAAGAGGCAGTCTGTAAGTAGTTAAATTTTGTTTTCTTCTCGCATACTTCCTAGTGCGGATTCCTCTCGGCCTGGTTGGGTTTTTTTTTTTTTTAATTGGTACTGAAAAAAATAATGATTATCAATACAATTCAGAAAACAAAAAACCCTGAATTTATTTGAAAAAATCCAATATTAATGATTTCATGATAACTTTGGAGTGTTATTCATAAATACTGCAAATCAAAATGCATATTTATTCCTGGGAGAACTTAATTTTTAAAAAATTCTATTGTATAATCAAGAGAGTCTATTAACTTGATCTGCAGATAGAATAAATTGATCTGAATCAAGAATGAGTACTCATCTGTGTTTTCTGGAAATATATGATCGTTCTTTATATGATGGATATTATGCAGAGTAAATGATATATGTTGACATTGGAATTTATGAAGATATTACCAGCCAATCCTGATTCAGGCAGGATTCTTATATTGAAGTGACATTTGTATGAAACAACTTGAATTTCCATGTAGTGTTTCAGCTTTTTGTAAAGCCAGTGGCACATTTACATCATTCATAGTTGGGTCTTTTTTTTTTTTATCAACAAGTTGCAGAACATAGAATTAACTGCCCTTAATATTCCACTACAGTGAATGTGGGGCTGTTGTTAACTGGAACTGTGTAAAAGCTGATCTAGAGGTTTTTGAATTAGGTGTCTGATTCCTGTTAGTAAAGTTGTCAGATGGGGCAGCTTTAAGATATGTTCCTGCAGATCACATTGTGGAAGATTGCCAAACTATGTGGTGAATGTTTCCATGGGATTTTGTTCTATTGGCTAGAGTTTGGCGGTGACCAGCCTTTGTGTGGGGCACCTGGTGCCCATCAGCTGTGCACGGTCAGTTGCAGTGGAGGTGTGGCTTGCTTTTAGACAGGTTCAGGCTGCCTGAAAAGCCTCCTGAGCATCATTCTTGGAGAATGTGCCCATATTAATGGTCATCAGCTCCCGTCTTCCATTCCTGCTGCTGGGGGATGAGGCTGTCCTAATTTCCCATAGAAAACACTCCTACAATTAAACATGCATTGAAATCATGATGCATCTTTTGCATCATAATTAGGGCTTTATTGCTTAAACTTAGAAGAGTCTAAACCTCTGTCATTTTTCATCATAGTGACAAATAAGGAAAATAGAAATAAAACTACATAAAGCATTCCTATAGGGGAAAATAACTCACTTTCTCGATTCTTTTTTTTAAGGGCTTTTATACCCTACATATTTTTCCTTTTAAATCTTTGTTTGAAACTAAAATTATGATCAAATCTTGCTTTTAAGCCTTATAATTGCTTTTCTTTTTAATGTCACCATCTTATTTCTGAGTTATCATATTAGTGCATTCCCATCCATTGTATTATTTTTTTTGTGAACCACAAGAGAAAACAGGTTTTATGCATTCCATAGGTCCAGTTTCAAGAAGACAGCCACATGTCCCTCTCCCCCTGCAGCTCCTAAAACTTCTCTTGCCTCCTCACTCCCCTATTGATTAGCTTCTGCAAAGACAATTCTAATCCACTCTGTATTCACAAGGTTAACTTACTAATAATCATCATATTCAACAAGTAAAAAGGCAGGAAGACCACAATTCACAGGATTATAAAATGCAACTAAAAATCATGGTCCTACCCTACTACCCTAAAGTGATCATTTTATTCTGCCATTAAGTGTAAGAATCATGCTACTTAGCAAGTTAAGTTCCTTGTATCTCTATACGGGGCTTTTCTCTTTGGGCAGTTGTGTAAATCTCAATTCTTTTGATGTTAGCTGATAGCTATGAGTTGATGTAAAATGCACACTGAGCAAAGAAAATGTTAATTTCCTCTTTTTGAGAGAGTAGGCTTCTTTTGTAAAAGAAGGGATATGAAACTTATTTGGAGACTATTTTGAATACATAGTAAGAAAAAAGGATGAAATTATGCAAATCATTTAAAATATTCTCCCTAACAAAAATTAGCTGATTATTCGGGTGCCAAGGTAGACCAATGCAGAGCTGCCTTCATTTGAGTGAATTCTGGGACAATTAATACTTCCAAGTGAAGCAAACCAAAAGTAAATGTGCTGTTTTCTATTTTCTGTTATAACAAATACTTTCTAAAGAATTAATGATGCCTAATATAGTGGTTTTGAAACGCAGGCCACCCAGCGTTTTCCATAACAGCAAACAGAATGCCAGTTATTCTCCTCATGCAAGCTTGTTTTACGACTTTTAGACAAAGAAAATGCTCTTTAAAACAAACGCTAGAGTGATTTTAATAAAAATCTAATGAAGAAGAGCACAAGTGCACTCTCCTTAGGTGTTAGTGTAGGCCCACATCCTGGTACCTGACTGTTGAAATTGTTAAAGCTTGCTTGTTTTATTGACTGCCCAAATTTCTCCCGCATAAATACTTTCAAATCTTTTAAGCCTCCCAGAAGGACTGACGATGTGGTCCTGCTGTTCTGCGGAGTCCTTTACATGTTAACAGTCAGCAGCTGCACACAGTACATTGCCTTTTTCCTCATTGCCTTTGGTTACATGACAATGTAATTGAACTTGTCAGGAGGACTGTACTATCGGAGGAAAGCATCTTATTTCGCTGGATCTGTTGCTTCTGATTTATATGCCGTGCCGGGTGTGCCTTAGCATTCCATTTTCTTCATTTTGAAACAATTTGTGGGATTTTTTTTTTTTTTTAGTATTAAGTAAGCATTAAGTAAGTTGCAAGATTTTTAAAAATCACTTGATAAAAATATTTAAATGAAAGCTTTTGTAGGTTAAAGGACACAGAACCTATATTATTATTTTCAAGTCTGAGAAAGCAAACTAATATGTCTAGAAAAAAATCAAATTCTCACTAATTTATAATTTACACTTGTTATTGGTAAAAACTTCTTGTTCCCTATTCAATTCAAAACTTGCAAAGGCAATGTGACCTCTTTATAAGATGCACAGAGCAACAGATAAAGGAAATCAAGGGAAGATGTTATTAGGTAACCCAATAGCTCCTTAGAAGTGTCCATTCTAGCCACCTGCCCTTCCAGGACTCCCAGTTCTCCCTGTGCTCCAGCTTCCTTTGCCGGGGGAGGAGGGAGGGAATGCTAGCCACACACTCCATGCCAGGAGCATCCGTGCATTGAGACTTCTGATCCTACGATCTTTTAACCCTTCCTCTGTCATTTTCCTTTGGAGCTAAAGCTGTCTTATTTTCTGCTCTTCCTAGCTGCTTATCAAAGTAGTGATAGAATCGTGGCAAATAAAATGATGAGGATACCTCAGTAGGTATAATAATAAAACATAAAACAGTTAGCAAGCACTCAAAGCAAACTCTGGAGAAGAGATTGCATTTGCATGACAAGATTGAAAAGTATGTATAACAATACATCGTGATGTTGCTGAGTAAAATCATTTATATGTAAAGTGTAAAACATGCAGAGGAAGCAAGTTTGCGATAAAGGTTATGTGCCAGGAGTCAGTACGAGACAAGAGATTTGAGAAGACTCTACAGAGAGCTTCATATATATGCTTGATGAGGTGAAATTTGCTTGTGTGTTTATAGCATGCCCTCTACACTTTGATAGTCTTATGATATTTTTATTTAAAATTGGTAGTGATTATATAAAGTAAAATTCAAATATTTATGGGGACATGAAAGTAAAAGACAAAAATAAGTATTAATCTATTTTGAATAAGAACAAATACAAAATTTGTGGCTTTTTAATGGGCTTTGTTTTTTATGTGTTTTGTTGTTGGTGGTGATTGCTTCTCTCATGGTGAAGATTGACCCAAATGAATGAGATTTTATGATAATTGGACTGTCAGCTGCAGTAGCGTTATGACTTAATGCCAAACATCATAAAAATTATCACAATTTTTTATTACTGAAATGCTTTATTATGTACCACTTGGGAGTAGAAGATAATGCAATGAGATAATACCTTAGGAAATGGCACATTGTAATATTTAACTTCCGAACTGTAGCTTTAGAGTTTTAGCCTTTTTAAGAGAGTGGCTTCTACCTCAATTGTTAAAATATCATTGAAATAGTCGCAGGAGGTTGTTAAGAACTTACATGTAATTTTAATATATTGTTTACTCAACACTATGTTAGTTAATTCCATAACAATATACATTGTTGCTGCTGGGGCTTTTAATTGATTGGGGTTTTACTCTTCAGACCAGAGAAGGTCTCCCCAAGAAGCAGATAAACTTATCTGGACAATAAGATGCTGAACTCTATGCTTGATATATGCTTACAATGAAGGTGTCTCAACTGACCTTGAATTGTGGTTTCACAACAAAGTGGAGGAGTCCACCATGGGGGGAGGGTTGGGTAGGGGTGGGGGGAATTTCAGTACCTGTAGAACTATGTCTCATAATACAATGTAATCAATAATAATTTAAAAAAAAAAAGAGAGAGAGAGTGGCTTCTAGTGGACTGGTCTTTGGGTTCAACAAAATGTCCAATGCTGTAACTTCTCTAGCATGCATAGGAATCTATCTCCTGATCACTACAAAGTGAGCCTCCTGCAAGCTGCCTGAATGTGCCCTGCCTCTTCTGTCAGCTTCCAGTCACTGCACCTGCTAGATCAGGACTGGCTAGGTCTCTGATGACGGATTCTTCACGGTTTGAATGCAATATGGAATGTGTAGCCCTCTCTTGATGTTCCCTCGGTTTGATTTTTCGAAGACTAGCCCAAGTTATCTGAATCTCTGAAAGTGCCATTAGTGTTGTGGCAGGGGGGAGGGTTGACCCGCATTTGGTGTTTTAGTCCGAAGTGACATTGCTAAGTGGAAAAATTGAGAGGAGCTTATTTTCAAGTAAAACAAGTGGAAAAAATGGCAAAGCCCAAGATGTAAGCTAATGGATGATGAGGAACAACCCAGATGTCTGTCTATAAAGGACTCTGCCCTGCCCCACCCCACCCCAGTGACTTGACAGTTGCCTGAATAAACAGCTTTCCAGGATGGAGTGTCCTTGGTAATGTTTATACCCTAGAGA